TCACATTTATTTTACGTCTCCGTCTTTACGGCAAACGTTTTGGAAAATATCAGCGTTTCGTGTTCGTTTTGACTTCATGTGGACGGGGCCTGAGAAAAAAGTCAGAATTCTGAGAACAAAGTCAGAATTCTGACTTTTTTCCCATGTTAAAGTGTATTTTAACCAAATTTTAACTTTATCACTCTCTCCTCTTTTCTATTTCGTCTTCCATTTCTTCTTTTTCCTACTATCTTCTGAGTTTTATAAAACCATCTTCCTGTTTTTCCTTCATCCCACCTTTTTAGCCATTTTTCCATCAGTTTTTCTTTAATAATACTCTTTCCCTCAGATTTACTTGTTTTAACTGTATAACTAATAGGATTTTGAAAGCTGTAATAATGTTATGCATTTTATTTGAGAAACAACAGCAAAAAACAAAAGTAGCAAATTTGTACACCACCTAGACCTACCTATGAAAACCTCATTCACTGAGAAATAATAATGCCTCTATGTTTACGAGAGTGTGCAAACAGAAAGAGGGTTGTGGCTAAAGGAAGCGAGGTAGGAGGGCAAAATAGGTTTAGCGCCACCGCAGCACAAGAGTCAGAATTATGTCCAGGAGCAAATGAATAAACATGAATCGATACTCTTGCGGACGTCTCGATGCATCGGATCGTCGGCTATAAATACTAGGTCTATAGCCCCCACATTCTTTCCTTTTTAATGTTTTCTGTGTTCTTTTTTTTACTGACTTTCATTATTGTGTTATAGGGATTAATGCAATAAACACTGAAAACTGTCTTATCTTCTTTGTGTTTCTGCTTAAATCTCTGTTGTAACTGTAGTTCTGCAGCTTCCTTTAAGCCCCCCGTAGAATCCACAGTCCCTAAATAGAATAGAAAATCCCTTTATTGTCCCACAATGGGGAAACTCTGGTGTTTAAAGCAGCAAAAAGATTATAGAAAAAAATTCTCACACAAATGTGGACCTTAGAGGAGTGTATAAAATAACTTTATAGTGAAGAGTTAAAAGATAAACAATAAAGTACTGTACTGTTAAGTGTTTTAACAATATAAAACTGTGCAACTGGAGAATAAATAACTAGTATACACCTATGGACATTTTTCCAGTAATGCATATTTGAAAAAAGCAACATCAAAGATGTGCAAAATGACAGCAGCAGGTTATTTAACTGACTAAGAAACTGTGCAAAATTATGATGAATGAAACTACTTATTATGGTTGATGGGAACAGTGGTGGTTCTAGAGTCTTCCAGTTGCTGGGAGGAAGGATCTGTGATAACGCTCCCTGGTGCATTTAGGGTGCAGCAGTCTGTCACTGAAGGAGCTCTCCAGTTCTGAAACAGCTTCATGCATGGGGTGGGAGACATTATCCAACAGAGATGTTCATTTAGTTAGAATGACAAAAAAAAAAGTAGT